GATTTGAATAATTATAGTTATATTCCCTAAAATTTATATTAGGTTAAAGCCCCCATAAAATGTGGTGGGTTTGATTATTTTTTTCTGACTGACCCAGTACAATGAGGTTGCTAAGGTAGTACCTCAAAGAACAAGCTTTAAAGAGCAAAAAAAACTGTTCATAGGCAAATTGGGGTTGGATTTTAAGACAATTTACTAGTCTGCCAGATTGTGCTACATAGAGAATAAAATGCCAGGGTCAATTATTTTCACATATAAGGCATGTATTCATGAGTCAGCTGTTTATTTTATAAAACAATCACTTCACACTCTTAAGCTTTTCCAATCAGTAGGAATTTCTTTAAACCGACTTTGAAAAATAAGACATCTTTCACACCATTTCCCTTTCTTGTAAATCTTTTAGAACCACAACAGGTTCTTTAATTTCTTTGCAAAATTTTGATAAACACATGCAGAGCAAAAGAAGCTGCCGTACTTCTCTAGCAGAACAAGACAAAAACTTCAAGCAATGTAAAAACTGGCTTTACAAAACTGAATAGTAGGAAACAAAGAATAGCTGAAGTCAGGAAGTGTATTGTAGGCATGGAACAGAAGTTGATAATGTTTAATAGCTTTGGCTGAATCAGAAGGCTATAGTGAGTTATTAGCATCCTTTAGTGGGTCAAAACAAATTTCCTTTACTTATGTCCTTCTCACAAGTGAATGTGCCTGTGTTTTCATTAGCTTGGTAAATAACTCATGGTTATTTCAGAGCACACCCTGACAACTCTAGAACAAACTACACACTCAACCTGTAGCTTTTCGAACAAGACTTATGTATAACCTAAGCATGTCTTCATGTAGATAAAACAGAGTTCTTCACAGATTTACATATGTTTGATGCTTTGGCAAAAGTGCAGTTGAGAAAAATACCTTAAATAAAGGTATCTTATACTTGTGAACCAGTTAGGTTCCTTTCTACAAATTAGTGGAGAGTTGCAGAGTGTCCTCCTTTCCTAGAGCATATTTCTGGCCCCTTCTGTCTCTCCTATCATTCCTATTTTTACATTACTTAGTTCATTTGGACTCCTGTTGTCAATCTGATGACACTCACCACAGTGAGTGCTACTGAATTAAACTAAAAAACAGAGGAAAATAACAGAAATGAAGGTGAGTAATCTGAATGACATAAATAACACTTTTGCAAGATAAAATGCATTCAGTGACCTATTTCTGCTGCTGTCTGTGCAGAACCCTGTGAGTTAAAAACAGGATCTTTCATGGGAGTGGTTCAGTTCAGGAAGAATCAGGGTGATATCTCAGTTCCTGCAGCATAATAACTTATCTGTACTGCCTGCACTATGAAATAAATAGAGCATTTCCCAGCTAGTGGGATTAATATGTGATCTGGTAGCAACTGAGAATTGGAAGAGCCCAGTTTACATGAGTTCTTTGCACCTCAGGCGTTAGCATTTCAGTTGTAGCTAGACTTGTACACACATACTTGATATGTATGTTATTTCATAACATTATTATAGCCTTTAAGCAGTTCACAGTTTCCTTTTCACACTGTATTAATCTGAGAGTTCTTAGTGTTATCGGACTTTTTATCTTTTATTATTTTTTATTTTTATCAATCTTTTTACTCTCCAATACAGTTTAGTATCTCTCTCTATTCCAAGTGAAGCAATTTGGAAAATGGAGTCTGAGTCATAATTAGAGAAGATAAAGTTGTGAGACACCAATTACTGATCCTGTAACACCATCTATTCAGGTTATGCGTAGCTGGTGTAAACACATCCTGTGCTGCTAAAGTTACTCCAGGAAGGAACCTCTTGCCAGTTGCTGGAGACCTGAATATCCATCCGTTATCACCCTGCAGGCACACTGATTTCTGAGTGCTTTTAGGACAGCTGTGTTTCACTTGAGCTGAGAAAACCCAGCTAAAGATGTGATGTTCTGACACCAGCATCATCCCTTGGTGCCCATCTGGAAGTGTTATGTGGCCCGATTCTTCTACCAGCTCCACAGCATCAATCTGTACACATCTTGGGGGTGCAGGACAGAAGACTGATGCTTGCTCAAAATGGTGATTGCAGAAATTTTGCTCTTTGATCTTGAAACCAATGAGATGATTACCAACTTCCATTCTTCAGTAAAGCATTCATTACAATGAATCATTTTAAAAGCAAATGTCAAATTACAGGCAGTTTTACTATTTATTTTAAATGGTTTATGAATATTGTATTAACCCATAGTTTCTTTCTGTATGCCATAAGCATATCTTGCTGATAAAAACACATCCCAGATAGCAAATTAAAGATGTAGGCATGAAAACCCTGTTGATGGAACTCAATGTCGTCCTTTTAGAAAGGATTTAATACTTTGCTTATCAGATAGCTGAAAAAAAGAGAGAGAGACTCTGCCCCAAATTTAGGCATGACCTTAACATGCACTTAACTGCTCCATCATGGTTATGTGCACAATTTGGCTGTACCAGTGATGCCATTGTGGGAATGTTACTCACCTCTCCATATATACATCCCAATCTTTTATTTTACCCTGTGATGCAGTTTTAAAATCCACTTCTCGTTGTTTCATTTGGGAAACAAGATCACAGTATATCCAGCAAAGTTCCATGCTAGAATTCAGCTAACTTTTAATGACAAATTCAAACCATTATTTCACAGTCATTGTACTTCATAAAACTATTCTTATGTCACTTATAAGTGATATAAAGTATATAAGTGATATGGAGTATATTATTGCCTGTGTTGCCTTTCCCAGAATTAGAATTATTCCCACAAGATCTGCATTGTTTTACTTGCTGAAATTACAGAGCCCAAATAATTTGCAATTTCCTGCTTTTATTCAGTGGTGATTTTGAGTGTAGATATAAATTGTGCTTTATACACTGTGTTTATACACTAATTTCAATGAAACTATTTTCTGAGATTTCTAACAAAAATTCATGGTTATGACTCATGGAAGCATAAGTTATTTTATCCATATGCAATTATTGCAAAACAGAGCTGTGATTCTAACTATCTCTTCATGTTCTCATTTTGTAGCTATTATTTAAAATTACGCTCTTCAATTTCAGGAATTCCAAATAGATTTCTGACACTGCGCATCTTTACAGACAAGTGCATAGAGCTGTGCTGTATTCCTTGGATATCCAGCCAATGCAAATTTTAATGTTGATTTCAACACAAGTTTTCAACAAAAGAATTTCAACGCAAATTCTATTTTAGGTGTGAGGATTATTTTTTTTTCTAAAAGAACCTTAAATCATTTCTGAATCACTAGAGCCTATATCACAATAGAGGATAATAAGGAAAAAGCTCATAGTTTGCTGTGCGTGTTGCCTAGAGAGAAACACTGACCATGTCAGGTAGAGTTCTTTATGACCAATAATATGTTAAGACTGTTTGATGTTACACATTCAAGATATTTGACATCCCAAGTGATTCAGAAATTTACTCCCAAGGATTTTTAATAATTTTAGCCAAGCAGACTTAGTCACTGATGTAGTTAAATGCCTGGAACTTCTGAAGGAAGACATGGATTTACTAAAATTGGTAGGAAAATGCTGAACAGCTCAAATGAGAAAAGGCTACCAACTTCTACAAGGAAACTAAGCAATAGTCCGTAGATTATACGGTGTTGTTTTGGAATCATCTTTTTGTAAAGGAAACTGGAAACTACAGTGGTTTATAGCCCTTTTTTTTTTCCTGCTGCAGAGCTGGT